TTTTTGTATGCTTATTTGCATAATATTACAGGCCTGCCATAAACTTACATAAATAGTGTAATAATTATGTAAATCTGTGTCAGAAAAATTTTCTGATGAAATTAGTTTCAGTTTTGACTAAATAAAACATTTTTCTTAAATCACTAAACCAAAATTATTTGCTAATAAAACTAATTCATTAATAATAGCCAATTCATTCTGATCCACACACATAATTATAAATTTATAGTGTTATCATCAACTCCCAAATAATAATTGGTGACATTATTAATACAGAAGAAAAATTTGTGTTTATATAGCTGTTAGTGCAACCATAATAATATATGAATTATTTTAAACATTCTCCACCCAAAATACATGTAAACTTAAACTGTTGCTAAAATGAACTGTTGTTAAAATGAACTGTTGTTAAAATGAACTGTTGTTAAAATGAATTGTTGGTAAATGAACTTTCAGTAAAGTGATTGTTGGTAAAATAATATGTTGGTAAAGTGATTGCTGGTAAAGTAATATGTACCCCTGGGAACAACAAGTGATGTACAAGGCACAACAATTATGTAAAATTAGTCCATTTATTGATTCTTGTCCCATTTCAAAAAAACTGCATCAGTAAACAAGACATGTGGTTGCACATAGGCAAGTGACACACTTCTAATAATAATAAAATAATAACAATAAAATAAAATAATAAATCAAATAATTATTTTTTGAATTCTTAATTTCATTCAATAAAATTTGCATTTGAATCAACAATTGATGATTTAATTTATTTTCCATTTCCTTGAGGCCATACTTAAGATTTGTTTCTATTTCCCTCATATTGTTTTCAAGACTATCTTCTATTTTCCTCATATTATTTAAAAGTTTGTCTTCAATTTGTTGAGAATCATTTTCCATTTTTTAGACACTTCAGCAAGTTTGGCTTCAATTTGTTGAAAGTCATTTTCTGTTTTTTTTAGACATTTCAGCAAGTTTGGCTTCAATTGAATCAAAATCATTTTCTGTTTTTTTAGACACTCCTGCAAGTTCTCTAAGCCTATCAGGAATATATTCTGTATCCTCATTGCTATCATTTGCTTCTCTAATTTTTTTACAAATATCAACAATTGGTGCATCGTAAGATCTGGTCAAAATGATTTAATTGATTATTATTATATTTACAATATATCTCAAAACAAGTTTCTCCAATGACGTTGATTAGGGAGTAAATAAAGTAATTCAATCTCCATGATAATTTTTGCTTTTTAGCTAAAAATGCTTCTTTTTTATTATCTCTTAAATGGTCAGAGTATTCTTTAATGGTAACACAAATTAAAGTTTTGTTCATTCTTATTGGTCAATTAACAACCAGCAAAGTAAAAACAGTCAATTGACCAACTTTTAAAGAAGATTTTACAAAAACCACAAGGACAACAACTGGATTTTTATTTATAGGTTAATCGGCTGAATCTCAAAGATCATTTTCGTATTAGAAAATGATGCCCACAGAAAAAATTTTTTATATCAGAAAAATTTTATCGGTTATCAATAGCCGATTAACCGTTTAGGGATAAAATAATGGGTATAATGGGTATCAAAACAACAATAGTGACGATGGTTATATTTTTTGATAGTTGTAAAAAGAGATTAGATGAAATAATTAGAAAAAGAAGACAACGACAATGATGATAGTAGTATTTTGATAGTTGTCACAAAAAATTTTGACTGTATATTTAATACATAATAAAATTGACAGAATATAATACTACAACCAAGCGACCTTTTACTCTCGGGTCCAATTAACTTTTAAGTTATAAAGGAAAATAATAGAAATTTATATGCTAAACTCGAGAAATGCCAAATTTGTAGCTGTTTTGGTTTTCTGTTTTCCAGCGCGATTAATTTACGGAACAAATCATCAAATATTAGGTTTTATTTGTTATTTATTTAAAATATTAGCAAACAATGGCTGTCAAAAGATCACTCACTGCGTGACGAAGCATTGTGACGGAAAATATGATTGGGCAAAATAGGAAAGGATGTGCTTAATAGGCTAATACAAAATTCATATGATTGATCAGCAATTCTCTCTCAGAATTTATAAAAAAAAAATGACGACAAGGATAATAATTATGGTAATGGAGGACTAAATGACATCCAGTAAGGTGATTATGTTACTATACGTTTTAGCACATTTAATTACTCTGTCCTGTTCATCTCGATCTCGTTCTCTATGGATGATAAATTATTTAGAAATCGTACGCGGATGTGATTGATTAGTTAAAAATAAATACTATCTGATGTAGATAATGGCTTTTAATTGCATTATTAATTATTTTGCATAGGAAAAAGATGTTACATTTTTAAAATAAATAATTATCGAAACATCTTACTATTACTATGTACTTGACTGTAAATCGACACTCACGTGATTTATTATCAATTCCTGATGAATCTCACTTATATGTATATATGCATGTATATAT